TGAAGACTGGCTTGTTTCATTCACAGAGTGAAAATATTATGACCAGCAGCTCCTGTGTTACATGCTCCATATCAAGACAGTGCACATTCCTGGCTGGGCTTATGTCACTTGCCCACTCAGGTCCAGTCAGCTGTCTTGGTGGGGATGGGAGAGGGGCCAAAGAGCAGACCTGGGGTGCCCTGTGTGAGAGTGTTGATTGTGGGAGGGAGGGGACTCAAGGCTGACAGTCCTCTGGCTGGGGCACTCCTGTGACTTACTGCTGGCCTGTAGCCAACATGTGCTCACGTCCCAGCTCTGGGACATGCAGNCTGTGACTTACTGCTGGCCTGTAGCCAACGTGTGCTCACTTCCCAGCTCTGGGACATGCAGTGGGAGGTGTGTTGTCTCTGTCCCCAAAGTACTGTACCCCAGGAGGGTGCCAGACGNGTGGGAGGTGTGTTGTCTCTGTCCCCAAAGTACTGTACCCCAGGAGGGTGGTGCCAGACANAAGTACTGTACCCCAGGAGGGTGCCAGACGGACTTACCAAAGGTGAATCGAGGAGTTAGGCACTTTGGATATGATGGTGGGCAATATAACTAGCAACAAAAGCAAAAACCTCTGTCAGGAAGCTAAATGGTGAACAAGATAAATTAGTAAAATATGTAGTATGCTGCAGTTGAGATATGAAAATGAAAAAATGAACATGAAATTTTTATAATTTTCACTATAAAAATTACAACTTGAGGAATGCCAAAAATGTATCTGTGGAGGGTGATGGGGACTGTCATTATAAATGGGAAGGTTGTGGAAAGATGCAGTGAGAAGGCGACGGTCAAACAAAGACTTGAGGGAAAGGAGCCAGCGGGTGTAGGGGAGTCTGGGAAGGGCACCCAGCCCTGGGAACAGCAAGTACAGAGGCTGTGGGTGGGGTGGGCACGCCGTGTGCACAGATGGGGTGGGGTGGGGAGAGAAGGTGGTGCATGAGCTCAGGGACCTAACAGGAAGCCTCACTCTGGAGGGCCCTGCCTGCCATTGCAGATCGTTCAGGGTTTGCTCTGCGTGGGGTGAGGCCAGAGCGGGTGCTGGGGCCATGATAAGGAAGGTCTGCTATATACAAACTGTGATACCATAACTGCTTACACTCTATCATAATTTTACAAAGGTTTTTCCTGGTCTGCTTTGATTCTTCCTGTTTAAAGTGTATTATCTTTGGCTGGCTTAGTTAGACCTGGACTTGGATGGCCTCAGGGTATCAGAGAGGTCAAAGGGATAGACTTGTAGGTGCTGCCCAGCTCTCCGAGGGGCTGGATGGAGAAGGGTCCCCTCCCAGGTCACCTGCACTCACTGTCAGCCTTGTCCATCCAAGGGGGGGTTTGCTGCCCAGTGTCTGAGTCCATCCTCGTAGCAGGATGGGTTACCTCCTGTTTCTCTAATGGGCCCCTGAGCAGCGGAGAAGACAGCCAGGATCCAACAGCTGAGCTGCACAGAGCTGGACAGAACACATTTCCCTGCTGCTGGCCCTTCCCGTGGCAAACCTTTATGTGTGAATGCTGTGCCCATTGCTGTTATAAATTCTTTGTTCCCTTTGGGGAAATTGTGTCATGTCCTTATTAGCTGAAAGAGTCTTTATAGGGCTGTGAATGGAGCCTTGGGGCCCAAATCCGGGCTCTGCCACCGGCCACTTCATAACCTGGCACATTGCTCAGATTCTGGATCCTTGAGCCTCATTTGTATGCGGGATGACACCACCTGCCTCCCTGGGCTTTGGGGGACACGGTGAGAGCAGGCACATTGAGTTTTAGCCCAGCTGCTGATGGCCAGTCTCTGAGCAGGTCCAGCCAGCCAGGTGTGTTGTGTGAAGTTTTAAAAAAAAATCAATCTCTTTTTTCTTTGTAATCATTCCTTTTTCTCCCTGGAGTGCTGCGTGATTCGTATCCAGATACGGCCATTTGATGTCTGCCGGCCTTTGAAGTCACTTTCTCCTCAAGGAAATACGAGGCTTTCCACCCCTCCCCCTGCAGCTCTCAGGAGTATCTTGATAGCCAGCAAGCTAAACTGATCAGCTCAGCACAGTGCTCTTCTATGATTAGTCATGAGGCTGCATCATATTATCTTAATTAGGCAGTGAAAGAAGATGTCAGATGCTCTCCGGGCCTGTTTGGTGGGCCGCTGGTGGTTGCTGAGAACATTTGTGACATTGATTGCCCGGCTCCGAGGCCTCAATAAGGGTGGCCTTAGGAGCTGCCGTCTTTCTTGTTTTTGCAGACTTGGGGTGCTGTCCATGAAAGGCTGACTCTGCTCTCAAACGAGGCGATTACGTTTACTCGTTTCAGGGCATTTTTTAGCACTTCTCTTTCACTCTTTGATCCAAGTGTGTTGCTAATGAGTGGAAATATTTATCGAGAATGGTTCTATCAGCTTTCTCCCCACGGGTGGTGGGGAACTCAGACACCATTTGGCTCAGGCTTCTGGGCACAGTAGTGATGTGTTTACGGGAGTCACGAGTCAGTGGAAAAGTATGGGAGGCCGAGATTCTATTGACAATGCGTAGGAATGTGTGAAAAAAGATGATGCTGTATTTAAGAAAAAGTGTTAATTCCTCTCTTCCTGTGACTTGACTGCTTTACGCATGAAGTTTCCCCCACACTTTGGACTTGAGAATTAGTAACATCTGGAATTTGGCGTTCGTTCAGCTAGAACGATAGGTATAACTGTAGTATTAATATGATTATACTGTTGTTTCCTCTTGCTGCTCCTATTGAAAGTGTTATTTAAGGAAGCTGTTCAAAATTTCCCTTTTGTTTAAGTTCAGTTTAATAAAATGCACAGAATGGGGTCTGTATGTGCTCTGTATGCAGGTGAGTCAGGTGTGGTCCCTGCGCAGCCCCGGCCTGTGAGCAGGTGAACAGTGCGTGGGCACAGGTGTGTGGTGAACATGCGTGGCAGCGGGCGGAGGGCTGGCCCTCAGCCTGGTTACCAGAGATGTTCACCTTGAGTTTTCAGTTACAGTGAAGAATGGCTTGATGCCGAGAGGCAGTGCATCCCAATGTGGAAATGTGAGCAGAGGCTTGGGGGGTCTGAGACCTCAGAGGCAAAGCAGCGTGTCTGAGAGCACTCAGGAGTTCTGTGTGACAGAGCCTGGCATGAGGGGGGAGGCACAGCAGGGAGTCAGGTGGGGATAGGTGGCTCTGCTCTGCAGGTCTCGGCCGTGCTCTGGGCTTCAGCCTTTTCCACAGAGGAGTCCTTGGTGGTTCCTCGGGAAGGGCCGTGGGAGAATTACGTTAGTAATCTGGACAGTGGCTGGGGCATCGGGATGTATGTGTGAATGTATGTGTGTCTGTTAAATGGATACTGGCTGGCTGTCTGGCTGGATGGATGGGAGGGTTAGTTGGCAAGGATACCAACTCAGAGGCTTTTGCCATTGTCCAGGAAAAAAGTAAAAACAGTGGTGGAGGTATTAGGAACAGAGAAAAATAGACAAGTGTTTAGGAGAGGAAATGAGAAAAGTGAGGTGAGTGACGTTAGGGCCATGGACATGTTGAGGAAGGCTGCCAGGTCTGACTGGATGATCAGGTGAGTGATAACCTGGGAAGGCTGGAGGTGGAATCCTTTTGGTGGGTCCGACGGTGAGTCTACTTTAGGAATCTGGGACAGCCACACGGGGAGTTCAGCAGATACTTGGATATTCAAGTGTCAGGTTCAGGGAAGGGAACGGAGTGGAAGATGCAGACTTGGGCACCAGAGGTTTACAGACGCCCACAGGGCAGCGATATGCAAGGTTGCTTGTAGACCGAGAACCACAGGGGTGGGCTGGAGCACTAAGGAACATCCATGTATAAAGGTGGTGGGTGGGAGAGAAGCCTCAGGGATACGTCAGAGAGGCGCAGGGAGGCGGTGGTGTGGATGCAGAGGAGCCAAGGATCCCTAAAGCACGGCCTCACGCCCTACAGGTTGGCGAAATGGTGAAATCAGGATTGGGATTTGCCACTGGCTCGGCATCACAGGGTTCATTGGTTTCCTTTGTGAGAACAGGTTTCAGGGTGAGCTGCTGCCATCAGCCAGTTTTCTTTGGGTCTAGAGTGCACAGGAGGGAAGAGCAGATGCTGTGGAGCTAGACGACTTTTTCACAGGCTTGTCTGAGAAGGAGAGCTGTGAGAGGCCTGTAGAAGGAGCCAGGGTTTCTGTGGTCCACGTGCTGTGGCTGTGGTCGTGGTCCCCTGAGCAGGCTTGTACCATGAGAAAGAGGCTGCTTGTTGAACAACCTTCTGCTCCGAGAAGCAGGTCATGTTTAGATTGGGTTGTACCTGTTTGTATTACTGCAAGCTGAGGTTTTACATATGCTAATCAGGGGGTAAAAGCATTGCGTGCCCTGTATGTATATTCATTAACATGTTCCTCTCATCGAATAATGGAATGTTTACACATTGCTGAAACGTTAATCCTCTCAAAAGAGCCATGTTTTGCATTTTCCTGTAGTTTTCTTTCTAGCATCCCCTGCCTTTCACATCCCTCCCTGAGCTGGGAGCTCCTGAACACAAATTTTGCTCCATGGCTGCGGGCATTTTGCAGGAGCTGCTGGCTTTCAGGCTAGTGCCCAAGCTTCCAGTGAGTTCTGGCCACACGTCCTCCCCAGTGCCAGCCCTTGACTCTGTCCAGACCTTATACTTTAGGTCCCGGAAGGGAGACCAGCCGCTCCACTTTCCTGACCACCCTGGGGCCCACACCTCTGTGCTCCTGTCCCCCCATGCGTCTTTCCTCTAGTCATCTGGACACACCTTTACTCTTTGTCTAGCAGCTGGCTCAGGTTCCTTGCTCATGAGCCTCCCCAGGCCGAGCCGCCTGCTCTCTCCCTCCCCCTGTGGTGGACCCAGGGGGCCGCCTTATATCTGGGCCCCTACTTGCCGGTTCCCCTCGGAGATTCTGGGCTTCCAATGACAGGGGCATCTCGGTGTACCGGGCTCCGTGCCTGGCACTGCTTTCCCACACCTGGTGACGCTCACCTTTCCTCCCTTCTTTCCAGGGAAGCAGTTCAAGTGCACCGTGTGTGACTACACGGCGGCCCAGAAGCCACAGCTGCTGCGGCACATGGAGCAGCACGCCTCCTTCAAGGTGAGGGCGCCAGAGGCGCGGGGTCTGAGCTACACTGCGTGGCTTTTCCGAAGAGGTGGGAGAGCATTTGCCCACTGTTTTCAGCATGTCCTTTACTTTTGGCCCCCGTAGCTCATGGAATAAAGGAGCTGTGCCTTGGACTCCTTTCAGAGGGGTGGCATTTGTCNCCCACTGTTTTCAGCATGTCCTTTACTTTTGGCCCCCGTAGCTCATGGAAAAAAAGAAGCTGTGCCTTGGACTCCTTTCAGAGGGGTGGCATTTGTTTGCCCTTTGCGCACTGAGGCCAGGAGGGTGCATACCCAGGAAGAGGCACGCTCTTGCCATCATAAACTGGAGAGATTTGGAGGGAAGGGTGGGAGTGTTAAGGACAAATGCGTGCTTTCAGATCCTGATTACTCAGGCAAACCCCCTGATTAACAGGTGCGAAGGTGCCCACCCGGCCAGCTGCTGTAAGAGCTGGAGGTGGTGCTGAGGGATGCCCACTGCAGTGCCCAGCACGCAGCAGGGGCTCGGGCGATGGCTACTTCCCTGTTCTTTAATCCCTCTCATGACATCTCTTTAATGTAGACAGTGGTATTCATGTGGCCGTTGCTTATGGTCAGTTATTGGCAACAGCTCTACTCCAGTAACTTTGTCTCATAAAAACTTGGCCTAGCACGTGGCAGGTTCACCCTTAAACAGTCTGCTGCTGCTGCTGCTGCTCTTGGCGTACACATGGAGCGTGGAGAATGGGATGCCCTGAAAGGTTTGTTGAAACTGTGTCCACCGCTTGCCAGAGAGTGGCAGAAGGTGGAAGGGACCCTGGTCACACTCAGGTTGCATTCACTGAGCATCTGCTGTGCATCACACTGTGCTGGCAACCTCACACCCCTTAACGTGGCGTCCCCACCATAGGTCTTACCACCCAGCTGGTCAAATGAAGAACCTGAGCCTCAGAGAAGTCAGTTGACCTCCTGTTAGTCTTTCCTGCCATGTGCACATGCTCCCATTTCAGTCTGTGCTGTAATGCTGACCACCCAGTGCTGTCCCAGCTTCCCTTCCGAGGTGAGGAGGACCCGCCCCATCAACAGGCTCATCTGATGCTCAGAACAGCCGTGTGAGAGATGAGTACTCATCTCTTCCCTTGGAGTTAAGAAACCAAGCGGCTCAGAGGGGATACGGCTCATGTGCTTTAAATACCCAGCGAGTGAAGGAGTGAGACCCTAGCTCCTTCTCAGAGTCCTCGGCCTGAATGTTTCCCGCCCTGTCTTCTCAGATACTCGTTGTGGGCAGAAAGGGGGGGCTGGGGAATCCGAGGCTGAGGCACATGCTGTTTGTGTAGCTGCTGTAGCATCTGCACTAATGTGAATTTCCTAAGACCCACATGTCACCCAGTGGGAGTGTCACACTGTCGCAATCGGGGAGGTTCTTCAGTGTTTGGTAGTTTGTACATAATCATGAGCTTTATTTTGCATTTCACAACTGACAGATGTGATTTTTAGGGGAGGACTCTGGGTTTTCTTAGACCAAGGCAGTCATAGTGTCAGAGAGCCGAGAGCTGAGGCAGTGCCCACTCTGTAGGTGAGAAGTGTAGGCCGGTTGGGACAGCTCTTATCCTTGCCTGGCTCTGCCCCTGTTCCGTGGTGTGCAGCGTGGAGCATCCTTTCCTAACCAACCCTAGCTGAGCAGCTTGTCTGCCCTGAGATCCTCGTTGATTTCCTCCTGAGGTTTGTGGAGTCTTTGGTGTGTGTGCAGAAGAATTGGAATGTGGGGGACAGTTTGACTTAAGGTCTCACCGTCACAGGTAGTTCTCACCGTTTCCCTGCCATCCAGTTACCATCCACCTCGGAGCCTCGGGAGCTGCAGAGCTAAGCTGGGCCTCGGGCCGTGGCCAGTTTCCCACGGGCTCCCTCTGGGTTTAGGCGTCCCCCCTACTGAGTGGCCCCCCTGGGAATGAGAGTCTGGTCTGACTGAGACCCACAACTTCAAACCANGCCCCCCTGGGAATGAGAGTCTGGCCTGACTGAGACCCACAACTTCACACCGTGGCTTCTGTCATCCTCTGGGTACCAGTTAGTTTAAACAGTGTCTCAGCTGACAGGGACCGACAGCGACAGTGCAGAATGAAAGGGCTCCTGCCAGCCACGCTCACCCTAACAGTAGTAATACTCTCCCTTTCCTCGGCCCGCCCCCGTATCAGTTTTCATTACCACTATACAGATTACCTCAACTTAACTTAAAATGCAACACAAACTTACTGCCTTATAGTCTTACGGTCGGGGTGACGCTCAGCCGTGTTCTTTCTGGAGGCTGGGGGACAAAGCCCGTCCCCCTGCCTCTTCCGGCCTTGGAGGCGCCCACGTTCCTTGGCTCATGGCCTCTTCCTCCACGTTGAGAGCCGGCGCCGGACCTCCCTTCCCACCGCCTCTGACTCTGCCTCCTCGTCGGTTTGCGAGGACCCTGTGATTACAGTGTCCGCTGGAGTTACCCAGGATGCCGCCCTTATCTCGAGGCCAGATGACTAACAGCCCAGTTCTCCTGTGGCCTCAATTCCGTCTGCCACGTAAGCTTACACGGGCTAGGACACGGATGCTTTGGGGTGCCAGGGGCTTATGCGGCCTGCTGCATCCCCCGCTCCTTTTCCTTCCTTTTTCACATCTGCTCCGTGGTAGAACATTTTCGTCAAAGTCAGGAAATATGGAGTACGTATGCTCCTAAGCTCCTTTGTCACACCAGTGGAAACACCAAGAAATCCACCCTCCCTGCTTCACTGAATCCTAGGCAAGGCCTCACAGTCTCTGGGCCGTTGGCTTGCAAGATGAAACCGTTTCCTTTCCTAGATCTAGGTTTATAATTTACTGTGTACAGTTTGTGTCAGGAAACACTGCCATAAGGGCAGCTCTTATACTGCCTTTTGCAATGACACGTTCTTATTTATATATTTTCAAAATAAAGTCATACGCGTTCACTAAATGAGATTTGGAAAATGCCTTTCAGTCTCTTTCCTCGTAGAATCTTTGGATTTATAATGTTTTTAGATGTGGTTGCAGTGACGTTGTGAATGAGCCTTTTCTTGGTGGAGCTGGAGCGTCCGTGCTACCACTGGAAAAGCTGTGTTGGAGAATGAGGTGTAGACGAGTGGCTAGATGGTTTGCTAAGAATATTTGCTTTTGAGTCAGCTGGTGACCTCCGGTCCCAGGCGGTGCTGAGAGTTGGTGTGCTTTGGGCATTACAAATACCCGCTTACTTATTCATCATTTCATGGCCTTTTCACATTTTATGGAAACATACTTAGTAACTACTTTCAATAGCGGCTTAAGGATGAGTAGTTTGATTAACCCTTCCCCTCATAATTGGACAGTGTGCTCGTTCCCAGTTTTGCTGTTCTAAGTAACCCTGCAGTGACTGTCTTCATGCCAAAAGTGTCCCTGTCATCCTAAAATCTGAAGGACTTTGAAACACTGGTGGAGCCCATCAAACCAGAGAGAATTCAGAGAGTGAAGGTGTTCTATGCACCTCTTGCAGCTGTAATTAAAGTGCGTTCCCCATGGTGGAGCTGCGACACTGTCAGCCTTAGACAAGTGACAGGGGAGCTGCTCAGGCCCAAGGACTGTGCTGAGCCAGGAGTCCAAACAGAGCGAGGCGTGTTCTTCCAGCCCAGCTGGTCAGCACTTTGCTTTCCTACAGATAAACAGGCCCGCGCACTGTTGTGCAGGCAGCGTGATTAACAGAAGAAGCGCCTCGTGCAATTTCCTCTGTCAGGCTCGTGTGAACTCGTAACTCTGTGGGTAGAAATGTTCTCAGTTATAGGGCTGCTCGATGCAGTGCCAGTCTCCTTGCACATGCATAAAAAGTGACTTTATTAATTTTTAAAAAAGTTTTGAAATAATTTTATACTCACAGAGTCATAGGGAGTTCCTTGTACCTATTGCCCACCTTCCCCTAATGATAACATCTTATTACTAAACCATAGTATATTATCAAAACTAAGAAATTGACTTTGGCATATTACTATTAACTAAACTGTTGGCCTTATTTGGAGTTTTTAAATTAATAAACTATTTTAAAGTTATTTCTAGGTTCACAGCAGAATTGAGAGGAAAGTACAAGGGAGTTCACATATACTACCCGCCCTCTTGTCCCCCCCTCACACAGCCTCCCCCATTTTCAGTATCCCCACCAAAGTGGTGCATTTGTTACAGTTGATAAACCAGTATGGACACATCATAATCCCCCAAAGCCCAGAGTTGGCATCAGGGTTCCACTCTTGGTGGTGTACATTCTATGGGTTTTGACAAACATATAAAGACATGTACCCACCATTATAATTAAAAAGCCATCAAATCCCAGTTGAGGGATATACTGTCAAAGACCTTATCAATGCTCCTCAGAACTGCCAAAGTCATCAAAAGTGGGAAAGGCCTGAGAAATTTTCACATGCAAAGGGAGCCTCAAAAGAAACCACAACTAGATGTAGGATAGAATCCCAGAGTAGGAAAAGGACATCAGGGAGAATCTAAGGAAATCCGAGGGAAGTATGGACTGCAGGTGATACAATGTGTCAATATTGGTTCATTAGTGGTAGAATGCTGCCTGTGATGAGAATATGTATATATGGTGGTTAAGTATGAACTGTAGGTGATACAATGTATCAACATTGATTAGTTAGTGGTAGAATGCTGCCTGTGATGTGAATACATTGTGTCAAGTATGGACTGTAGATGATACAATGTATCAACATTGGCTTGTTAGTGGTAGAATGTTGCCTGTGATGTGAATACATAGGTGCAGCCACTTTGGAAAGCGGTTTGGCAGTTTCTCATGAAACTGAACATACTCTCACCATACAGTCCAGCAGTTGTGCTCCTTGGTATTTAACCAAAAGTGTTTTCTTAATGTCTTTCCTTCTGCCCACACTGAGTAACTGAGATGATGTAATGAGGAAGTTCAGATGAAGCCCAGGTTCTCGTCCCTTCAATTCCTGGATATTTAAAGCACGTGGGCCCTTATCCCCTCTGAGC